CGCACTCCCCCCATCATTCACTAAGGTAAGATTTTTTGTTCTGATGCTGCCTTATACCTGATCCCTTCGACACCTCGTGGTTGCATAGGCTGCGGACAAGTGGCAACTTTTACAGATTTAATCCCTCTCTGCTTAGCCACACCAGAGAGAACTGGAGCCATGTCTGTCAGGGAGGGCACTGGGACTGGCTGTCTGGGTCTGAAGGCGGTGAGGCAAAGACTACGGTATGGCAGACGGGTCTACTGACGGTGCAAACTGGTTCCTTGTATTAACAGTCCCAGTCACCATTGGTGAAGTCCTTCTGAAGGAATAACTGATGGACCAGGAGGCAGGGTGGGGCTTTTGGGTCAACAGATAAAACCCACAACTCGGGCTTACTTCTCCAGTTCTCAGGCATCTGGATGTACCTCAAGTGGCTGGTCCCCCTTACAAAATCCCCACACTGACTCGCTGACCTGTGGGCCCAGAATAAACCAGCTAGAAGTGGCCCGTGTGGTCGAGGATGAAGAGTCAAGGGCACCAGAGAATGGGCGAGGCATGGCCCACCCATAAGAATGATGGGCCCCAAGCTAATACCACTCAGACAGTCGGATCTGGTGGCTGAGAGGACTCACCCCACAGGGTGTCATGTGACTTTAAGAATGTGATCCCTGCAATGGGGCAGAGGTTACACTTGACTTCACGGCATGCACCAGGATCCACCCCCGCCCCTCTGGCATGACTACAGCAGGGAGCAGTCACAGGCCCCTGACATGACATCATGGGGAAGACCCTCCTCCAAGCCCTGATGACAAGCTGACAGTGGGGTCCCCTTACGCCGGGGAGAGTAAGGCCCCTGCCGATACCTGGACACACAATCTGGCTGAGGGTTCGCTTGCTCTGAGGATCTTGCGCTGCGAGGCCGTCTGGGAACATTCTCACTGGGGTCACTGAGAGGCAGGGGACTTCGCAGGACACTGGAGGCCACCAGCGGTTCCTACTGCTCCATGGGAGCCCAGTGCTAGCTTTGCGCTCCCAGGAGGCTACAGGGGCTTCCTGGAAACTTCATGAAGGTCTTGGCCAGATGCAGGGGCAGGAGGAGGGGTATCCTACAGGACAACAGCATCCTTTCTCAGCTAAAACGCACGGTGGGGGGTGGGGGTGGGGGATGTCTTCAAAGAGTCCATGGGAAAATCCCATTACCTCTGAATGCCCTTTTCCCCACTTTTGGAGGCCCTCTCTCGTGGCTACGTGGTCATAGAAACTGTTATGAAAACAAACATATTCAAATGCCAAGCTGCTGTTTCTTGACAGACCTGCCCCCCTTCTAGACCTGCACCCCCCCACCGAAGGAGGTGTTTCCATCTCCCCGGCCCCCCTCCCCCTTCAGTGTACACCGTGCCCCAGTGACAGTCTGGGCACCCCTCCAGGGAATCAGATAGTGGTATTCTTTGTGGAGGTCCCTGGTGTTTGTGGGTCCAGAGGCAAGGGTCTGGAAGGGCAAGATCAGGGCTGTTGGGTGAACAGGATTTCCTTAATTTCCCAAGAAAAGTCCTGTAGGATGACCCTGCTTCCCCAGGGGAATGAGCAGGGGGTAACTGTATGGGGCAACATTCCTGGTCCATTTATCACCAACGCAGTTTCAGTTTTCTTAAAAACCTCTGTGCATGCTAAGCCTCCCTCCCCAAGCCTGTGATCATCCTGTCCCTGTTGGAAAAACCTGTCAAGACAAGTTCTTTTGGAAGCCCCTCCAAGCTTCCCCCACCAAACAAACCTCCCCCTCGCCCCCACCCCAGTTTGTTTAATCTTCTGGGCAGGCCTCCCTGCTTTGCAGTGAACTGGCCCACGAGATGGAATCCTGGGGAGGCCACCATTTGGATGAGACTTTTCTGGCAGCTTCTGAAGGAGGGCACGACTGGGAGAACTTGTCCCCAGCCCTCCACGGACTTCAGAGACGCGGTTAGACGTGTTCTGCTTGGAACCAACCCACATGAGCCACAGCCCCAAGTAGCCAGGCTTCTCACCTTGCCCTCATCCTGTGGTTCCCCTCTTTCTGACCTTCAGGACACAGGAGCCCAGGGCACAAGCATCTCACACGCACGCACGCACACAGGATGATCCTCTGATCCAGCTGTGCAGTGCAATCGCTGGGCGGCACACGGGGGGCCTGCGATTTCGTATTTTCTGTAAGCAGTCTCCTTTGGCTGTGGGTCCATGCTGACTCACAAGACCCCCGTGGGTTCCTGAGACTGTAACCGTTTGTAGGAGTAGAAAGCCCAGTCTTTATCCCGAGGAGCTGCTGGTGGTTTCAAACTGCCGACGGGGATCGCAGCCCAAATGCGTAACCACGACACTACCAGGGCTCTCCCCGTGGTGGGGGTGGGTGCCTGCGTGTCCAGGTCTCTGTCTTCACACCATAGCCTGGACTCCCTCTGCGCTCACCTGGGGAACATGCTCAGGTTCCTGAATAGGTCTGGCTTTCCCACGTGTAAAGCGAGGAAAATGTTCCACGTTCTCCATCACTTCTCACACAGTCTCGTGACGCAGTGCAGGTCAGATGTCTCCCACGGTGGCGTCTGCCTCCCTCACTGCTCAGTGGACAGTTGCGGACTATGTCCATCTTGATGGCCGTGCCGTATGTGGCCTTCTTTGCGGGCAGGCTGGACTCTGCAGGACTTTCAGGCAGGGGCAGTGATGCAACACTTTCAAGTAAGTGACCCCCAGGATGCGGAGGTGAGGTGTGTCTTGGCAGCAAGGGACCTACTGCTTTTCAGCTTTATAGAACAAAGTCCATGGGGATTCCTTTCAAAAGGTATAGATTTGAGAAAGTGATCAAGGAAGCGGCTTACAAGTTTGGGGCCTTGTTAAAAACCAGGCAGCTAGTGGAATGACAGCCAAGCAGAACCCTCATGAGCAGATCTTAGTACTTTGATAAAATGCATGTAAAATCAAATGAAGGGGGTGATAAACAGCATCTATTTGGTAACATTACAAGTTCAATGATATAGTCTTTTCAGAAAACACCATTAGGAACCACTCTAAGAGCCAACAGTGATTTTTTTTTTTTGGGGGGGTGGGGGTTGTGGGTAATCTTCGCTTCTCTACACAGCCCCTTGACTGCTTCCCAAATCTTCAAGATTCAGAAGGAGAAGCTCGCAGGTTTAGTTTCCCAGTGACAAAAGCAGGCTTAAGCTACTAATACTCCTGTTCAGAAACTGGCCGGAGGGCTGCTCACTGCTGACAAAGCATCACAGCCTCTCCACCTTTACGCACCAACACCTACACCACGTGGGGAAGAGTCTTACCTTCGCCTTGTCCCGCATGGAGCCTTTTCCAAGGATGGACATTTTTGTCAATGTTTCTTCCTGTAAGCGCTTCAGGGAATTGCCCCGTGGCCCCAAGAGTTTCCCCACAAAGTTGAACTGGGGAAAAACACACGAGAAGACAGACAGACAACACTTGTTAGCATTCATGTCTGCAAACGCCGCCCGAGCCGGGGAGGCCGGTGCGCTGTGACGGCTGGCTCACACAAGTGGCGCAGCCACTTCCAAGCAGGGTGACCTACTTCACTCTAGCACTCCCTTGGGCAGTTTTTCCCATTTTGCGGACTGTGAACGCAGGGGGTTTCCCAGGCAGAATCCCTGACGTGCCCCAGCATTAGCTTCCAAGTTCCTGACTGAGTCCCTGGCCAGTGCTAACCCCCAGTTCTTCGCCCCATGAGGGAACCTGCATTGCCGGTCTGAATGACAAAACCCATCCATCTCCCCTAGGTTATGAGCTATGGGAATGGGGTCACCTATTCAACTCAGAAACCAGGTGTTGCCTGTTAAACAAGCCGAGTGGACATGAATGGAGGGTGCAGCCTTCCACCGAGCCAGCTGAGGTTGACAAGCTGGACCTGCCAGTCACCCACGTGAGACCCAGGGCAACTACCTTCCTGTGCTCACCTAAACAGTGGGGCCAATCTTAGGACCTGTCCCCATCGGGCTGTTCTGGGGATTAAATAGTCAGAGCTGGGTGTAAAGAAAGCCCAGACCTTCAGAACTGGACCCACGGGCAACATCTCGACCAGGGGAGAAGCCAAGATCCCACTCGTCCGGGATTGTGTCTTACTTGGATCCAAAATCATTGCTCAAGGAACCAGCAGTCAAGAAAACACATGGCCTGTCAGTAACCACATTTTCAATTAAAAAAAAAAAAAGGGGGCACTCTGGTAACCACATCTTCAAAGACAATTACTCGGAATTCCGCACAATTGTTCAACACTTTATGATAATAAAGGTAAACCATTAACAATCCTTGGTCCCAAAGACACCAACCATCAGTTACCTGGGCTGGGTCTCTAAGGCAAGTGTCTTCCGTTACAAACTCACGCAGTTGCCCGTGACAACCAGCTCTCTTCCCTGACCGGCACCACAGGCGTGGTGTCGGCATCTTTATGAGAAAAGTGTCCCTGTCTTTCTTTAACCACGTCAATGTAACTTAACATTCCCTGGAATGTATGCAGGCAGTAATTTCAGGAATCAAGATGACTGACGTTATACATATCCCTGCCCACTTGTTCCACAGGAGTGGCTGGTTTTTCCACCCAAACTCAGATGCTGCTGACCCTGGAACAGCACAGGGCTTACGGAGCAGGGCCGACCTCCCTCGCAGTCAAACACCCACCAACGTCTGCTGGCCCTGGGGCAGCAAGCGTGGGAGTGAAGAGGCCCACTCGTCCTCAGACTGCTGTTCTCCTTGTTTGAACTGCTGGGAACGTACGTGAGGGACGGTCAAAGGGCATGACTGAACGATCCTAAAAACCTTCAATAAACAAAAATATCAAAACGGGAAGCTATTGCTTTTCAGTAGATCCCCCACGTGGGTCTCTATACTTCTGAAGGCGGTGTTGTCTCCATCTCTCTACCCCCCACCTCCCAATTCTGTGCAATCCCACGTACATCATGCCAAGCTGGCGGCCTTGGCTTCCCCTGGGGACCCACATTATGCTGCCTTGAAATGTTCTTAGAGTCTGGGGACAAAAAGGCGCCTGAAGGGCAAGGCCAGGTCTGGAGTGTGAATGGGGTGAGGTTTCCCCGGGAAATTCTCAGACACACGACAGCCCCCGATACCCTCAAAGAACAACAAAGACAGAAGGGGAGAATTTTACCAACGAGAGAGAGAGAAATCCCTCAGTGCAACTTTCCCAACAGATTCGATTATAAAACAAATGGAAGCCAAGACAAGCCTCCTGTCACAGAGGCCTCCATGATCGCATTCCTGGAGGGAACATCAAGATGACCCCTGAGCCATCGCTGAAAACCACCTGCCTAGCCGACCACCTGCCGCAGGACCTCTCTGCCGGAAATGACAGGGCCCAGCAGACAGAGCCCCGGATGCAGTCTGATGAACCTGTCTTTCTCCAGTACCTGGAGGAGACCACAGCCGCTGTGTGGCGGAGAGAACTCGCCTGCAGCCGTCCGCTCGCCCAGAGGGGCATTTCAGCAGGTTTTGTTTGAACAAACGCGCCCACTAGGAAAGGGGTGAGCAACTAGAAGCAGTGCTTGTTGCCCCCCTTGAAGTACAACCCCCAGGCAGCTCTTCTTCCTTTCTTTCCTGCGGTCAAGCACTTCACTCCTAAGCACACTGTCTTACGGTTCACAGAAATCGCCTTTCTCAGGGTTTGTTTGAAGGACCCTTGGCCTTGCAGCTGGTCAGATCTGCTTCTCCCAGAAGCCGTCCCTTCTCCCTCCACGTAGGGTGAGTGGGGCCCTCTCGACACCGTGGGCTTGCTCAGGTGTCTGATAATTCTCAGCAACTTCTTCATCTCCACCGACTAGATGTTTCGCTCCCACCTGAGTTCAGCCATTGATGAGCTCCGCTCTAAAAAATATGGTGACCCAAACTTTTCCCATCAGGATCTCCTCCTAAATCGGGGTCTGCCATCCACGTCGCTGGAGCCAGAATTTCCCCGGAGAGTATTCCCATCTGACTGCGGCAGCACGGGGAGTCCCTCCGTGGAGCACACACACCCTCAGAGGGGAGAGGGAGAGAGACACTGAGAAATGACTCACCATGCCTAGCTTGGGTCCACCAGCACCTGGGAGCGCGTGGCTTCTCTTACCCCAGGCCTCCTCAGGTTGCCCCGGACCAGAGGGAGGGGCGCGTTCCTGGCTGCAGCAGCTGAGGATCAACACCTGAGGGCTTGGCTGTTTCTCATTCAAGCTCCAACCCGGCCTCCTCCTCATCACTTCCACCCAATAAAGACACATTCCCAGTACTCAGTGTCCGTTTCCGGAAGCTGCTGCTGGCCAGAGCAGCGCAGGAGAGATCCTGCTTTCCCTGGCCTCCTGAGGGGTTACCGTTCCCCATTTATTTGCAGCTCCAGTAAAGGTTGATAGGCTCAGAAACCCTCAGGGGCAATCCTACTCGTCCTGCAGGGTCCCTGAGTCAGAACAGGCTGCCTCTGTGGAAACATCCCCTCTCTGACTAGGGCCCCATAAGATGCCCCCACCCCACCCCCCATTGTTCCTCTCACTGCCCCACACCGGCCCCCCTGCAAGGCCCCTTACCATCCTCCTCTCCTCCTCCCATCACACCACCCTGCCACAGTCCTCTGGAATCAAGCCTTTCCTTACCTAGCCCGGGATTTGTTCACTTAATAACTGTATCTGCAGGAGAGCAGCATCTTGTCACATGTTCACTTTTGTTTTTATTAGTAATTTAATCAGACCCTGAACACATGGAAGAGTGTATTTCCCAACCCAGCAACATCACAGCATTTCTTGCACTATAGACATGACGACAGGAGTCAGAGCCGGACACTGGAAAGCCCCACTGATTACAAAACTGGGAAGCCAGCCTGCAATAAGTACATTTGAGGTCCAGCGCATAATGTCTAAGCTGCAGCTACTGCACTCTGCCCCGGTAAGCCCAGCGCCTTTCTGAACTACCCTTAATTGATCTGCACTCTATTTGTGACATGGAATTATTCCTTGGGGACCAATTACAGTGACACTGTCATTTCATAAACAACTACACCTGAAGATCATATCACTGTCTCCGTTAAAAGGCTTCCCCTAATTGGGAGCTCATCAAAGAGTTGATTAGTCTAACACAGGGACGTCTGATTGACTTCTAACTCACCACTCAGAACTGAAGGTGCCCACAGCCCTCGAGCCTTGGCTGCTCTCCTGGCTTTAGAGTTTAGCCACCTCAGGTTCCCCTGATGGTGCTGTGCATTGTGCCTGGACTGCCAATCACAAGGCCGGATGTTCAAACCCACCAGCCACTCTGCAGAAGAAAGATGAGGCTGTCTGCCCCCATAAAGATTCCCAGCCTTCCAAAACCCTATGCTGGGCAGCTGCGTGTTGGAGTCTACCCAAGGGCAGTGAGTTTGGGGGACTGGGCTTGGCCACAGGCCTCTGTACATTTCTCCCAAATACCTGGCAGGAGAAGTGCTGGTTTCCCCTCAGACTTGGAGAGCTGGGAAGACATCCCACCCACCTGGCAGACGGTGAGGGACACTGGCCTCTCGAGGGTACCCCAACACCTGCGAGAGGCAGGGACCCGCAGGGAGGAGCAGGGCCTGTGCATCTGCTGTCCTGGGTGGGCCAGCAGCTGTGTGGCAAGACCCCAGGGGACATGTTCAGGAGGGTCCTCACATGTGTGACATGTGTTCTCTGCAGATCCAGTGGTCCCACCCAGCCACCCGAGTTCTCCCAGTGGAGAATGGGGGAAGCTGGAGACCACATCGCCTGCAGGGCGGGAGCAGATGGGGACTATCACTGCGCGAATCGGCCAGGGTCCTCATCCTCCGCCTCATCTGAACAGAGGCCTTCACCTCCCCGAGAAAGTGTGGAGGGGAGCGGAGAAGGGATGGTGGACAGCGGCCAGGGTAGGAGAAGCAGACAGACAGCTCCTGCTGGGTGCCAAGACACCCAGGCAGGCCAGGCGGTGGGCTCTAATTTAGAGCGCAACGTGGGGAGGGCTGAGCTCTCTCTCTATGTTTTGCTCACGGCATGCATCCTCCACAACATGAATTCACCTTTACTATCAGCGAGACTGCTTTACAAAGAGGAGATCGATGGCACAGCCTGTCTCTCCAGCTCAGCCCCCGCTCGCCACCCCCGACCCCTCCCTC